GATTTGCACAATAGAGGCTGCAGAAACCGCAGACTTAAGGGACTTTCAGAGTTCCCAGACCCGGAAGATTTAAAAATGACTTTGCAAACACTTTAATAACATACTGAGTAAACCACCCTCTGCCCGAAAGGCCCTCCATCAGAACCAAGAGATTTTATTTGTAGGATTCATTCCTTCTCACTCAAAGAGAACATACAGTTCAAAAAGTGCACTATGCAAAATATTCTACTTAATAGTGCACCAATACAGATTTCCCCAATTACCCATGGTGTACCTTGCTGAAGTCACTCCTGATTACACTTGGAGACTCCAACGGTGGGGTTTCGTCCTCACTCTGTTTTATAGTGCACCCATTTAAGGGCTTAACATTTACAGGTTATTTACAATGACCACTTTTACTTCAGGTTGACAATATTGTTCTCATGTATGCTCTTGTTTTACATCAAGTTATGCTGAGCCTGTGTGTACTATCCTTTCTGCCTCTTGAAACCTAGACAAATTTGAGGTGATGCGGCTGTAATTGATAGTTTGACTGGCTACACTTGTCACACATCCTGGTTGGATACAATCTTTCCCTAATACTTAGCTTAATGATCACGGTAGAAGGAAGGCAGAAGGAGGGACATCCTGGTGATTTCACACAGGCTTTGTAATCTTAAATCTGCTATACTTTTATAGGTTGACTAGGCAATGGAACAATCCCTTCCCATACTACCTATAGACTAGATATATGTTTCTTCTAAAATATTTACATATTCATTACTCTGCAAGCATTTTAGGCAGGTGCAAAAAAATGCTGTAAATTAAGAATGTTTTCATAAATAGAAGTGTTAATAGTTTATGCGTATCAATTACCAAAATGGAAAGTAAATGAACAAAAGAGAAATTCAAATCAAATCAAAACAGCATCAATTGTTCTAGGTACATTTGCCCACAGTTTTTGAAGGAACCTGGCAGGTAGGTTGTTCCAAACATCTTGGAGAACTAACCACAGATCGTCTGTGGATGTAAGCTGCCTCAAATCCTATCTCTTCATGTAATCCCAGAGAGACTCCATAATTTTGAGATCAAGGGTCTGTGGTGGCCGAACTATCACTTTCAGGACTCCTCCTTCTTTATGGTGAAAATAATTCTTAATGACATTGGCTGTTTGTCTGAGATCGTTGTCCTGCTGCAGAATAAATCTGGGGCAAATCATACGCTTCCATGGTAGTATAGCATGATGGATAAGTATCTGCCTGTATCTCTCAAAAATTTGCAGAAAAGCAACCCCAAACTTGCAAGGAACCTCCACCATGCTTCACTGTTGCCTGCAGACACTTATTGAACCACTCTCCAGCTCTTCTGCGAACAAACTGCCTCCTGCTACACCCAAATATTTCAAATTTTGACTCATCAGCCCAGAGCACCTGCTGCCATTTTCCTTAATAGTACTGTAGATGTTGGACAACCTGTGGTTTTGAACATCTAAGATATTCCATAACGAAATCTCCTTCCTACATCACTCACAACCCACTGAGAGAGATAGGAGGTCTAGTATGCTTATAATCGGAATAGTCCACTTCTACTGTTAGGATTAGCACCTCTCCTTTCTATCTAAGACATTTCAGTTACTCACAGCAAGGTTGAGTATTCTGGGAGGACACTTATTTGACTGGCCCCCACTATTGTCTTCATAAAAGACTGAACCTTCTTTTTGACATTAAGGCAGGTATTCAGAAAGAGAGCAATGTGACATAACTGATTGCCAGTTCTACTCCCCCTCCTACTACAATTTGCTCCTTTACTGAACTTTGCTTATACGTTCCCATTTCTCAGCCTTAGGGTCAAGATATTTTGGAACATACAGTTAGGTCCATATATATTTGGACACAGGCACAATTTTAATTTTTTTTTTCAGGTATTTACCTGTACCCACATCTGGAAGGACAAATTTACCAAAACATATTCAAGCTATAGCTATGTAATGGATATGGGCTGGAAGTGCACATTCTCAGGTTTAAACTGAGGGTATGTACATCCAAATTGAAGGAATGGTTTAGGAATTCCCCCTTTTTCAAGGGACCAAAAGTAATTGGATAATTGAATCAAAAGTGGTTTCATGGCCAGGTGTGGGCTACTCCATTACTTCATCAATTAAGCAGGTAAAGGTCTGGAGTTGGTTCTAAGTGTGGTATTTGCATTTGGAATCTATTGCTGTGAACCTGCATCATGCATTCAAAGGAGCGGTCCATGCATGTGAAACAGGTTACTGTAAGGCTTCAAAAACTAAACAAATCCATCAGAGAGATAACAGCAACACTTTCCAGGAGGTGGGCGTATCATTTTCAAAGTCTACAATCAAAGGAGGAGACTTCACGAGAGCAAATACAGAGGGGGGAATCTATTTCACCACAAGGTGCAAATCATAAAGCCCAAGAATCGAAAAGCCAGATAAGACATTGCCAAAAAAGAGGGACTTTAACGAGGGTTCACCACAAGGTGCAAAAAGCCCAAGAACATCTAAAAAAGCCAGACCAGTTCTGGAAAAGCATTCTTTGGACGGATGAAACTGGATTAATCTGTACCAGAATGATGAGAAGAAAAAAGTGTGGAGAAGACTTGGAACAGCTCATGATCCAAAGCACCCAACATCATCTGTAAAACATGGTGGAGGCAGTGTGATGGCATAGCATGCATGGCTTCCAGTGGCACTGGGCCATTGGTGTTTATTGATGATGTGACAGAAGCAGCCAGATGAATTCTGCAGGGTTTAGAGATATACTGTCAGCCCAGATTCAGCCAAATGCAGCAAAGTTGATTGGACGGCGCTTCACAGTACAGATGGACAATGATCCAAAATACACTGCAAAAGCAACCCAGGAGCTTTTGAAGGAAAAGAAGTGCAATATTCTGCAATGGCCGCATCAATCACCTGATCTCAACCCAATTGAGCATGCATTTCACTTGCTGAATGCAAAATGAAAGGCAGAAAAACCCAAAAACAAAGAACAACTGAAGAGAGCTGCAGTTAGAGCCTGGCAAAGTATCAGAAAGGAGGAAACCCAGTCTTTGGTCATGTCCATGGGTTCCAGAATTCAGGCAGTCATTGCCAGTAAAGGATTCTCCAAAAATATTACAAATGAACATTTTATTTATGATTATATTCAATTGTCCAATTACGTTTGGTCCCTTGAAAAAGGGGGGATGGCTACTCTTTAGAGCTGTAATTCCTAAACACTTCCTCCAATTTAGATGTGCATACCCTCAAATTAAACCTGAGAGTGTGCACTTTCAGCCCATTTCCATTATATAACTATAGCTTGAATATGTTTTGGTAAATGCCTGAAAAAAACTAAAATTGTGCATGTGTCCAAATATATATGGACCTAACTGTATACTGATACTTACCGCTAAATGCAGATATGTTTGTTCATTCAGTTAGATGTTATAACCTTGTTAATGTTCTTCTTGCGGTTTAGAGCTAGGTCTTCTCCCTTAAACCTTTTCTCTTGTTCTGACCCACTAGAGCTCCTCTGAAGTTACTGAATGTAGGGCCTCTAAATGTCCTCGCCATCCCTGGGTAACCCACTGAAGCTCTCAGCCAAATAGTGCTTTACTACATACACAGATCGATTATGATAAAGATTCTATCATTTAATGTAAACTCTAACTATAAGAGACAATTGGTGTTACGTGTGTTCAGGCACTCTGGAGCGGATATTACATTGGATTAAAGAGATTCATTGACATTTGCATCTAGACAATTTTCTATTCCAAGCCTTTAACCTGAGGAAAGCAGGGGTTGCCATTCTGATTAAGACAGGCTCTTCCTTTCATCACAGACTCTTCTTGACAAAAACTGTCATTACATCATACTTACGGGGAGGTGGAGTTATACAGATTGCACCCTTTATAACATTTATTCCCCAGAGTCAATAAAAATGCATTTCTATCTGCAGTTTACAACAGACTTTTAAAAAATGAACACAAATTCTTGCTCATTGGGGGAGAATTAATTACGTCATACTCTGATACCATGGATAAACACTCCATTGGACTAAAAACACCCCTCTCACGTTGAATGATGCTCTCAATTGTTTTGTTAACTTACTAGAAAACACATGCTCTTTGACACTTGGGGGTTTATTTACTAAAGCTGGAGAGTCCAAAATCAGACTCCCTTCTGCATAGAAACCAATCAGCTTCCAGGTTTCATTGCCAAAGCTTCATTGAACAAGCTGAGGTTAGAAGCTGATTGGTTTCTATGCAGAAGGGAGTCTGATTTTGGACTCTCCAGCTTTAGTAAATAAACCCCTTGGTGTACAGCCCATCCTTTAGACAGGCAATATACACGCCAAAAATATTGGGATGCCTGCCTTTACACACACACAAACTTTTTTGGCATTTCAGTCTTAGTCAATAGGGTTCAGTATTGAGTTGGCCCGCCCTTTGCAGCTATAGCAGCTTCAACTCTTCTGGGAAGGCTGTCCACAGGAGTGTGTCTATGGAAATGTTTGACCATTCGTCCAGAAGAGCATTTGCGAGGTTGGGCACTGATGTCAGATGAGAAGGCATGACTCACAGCCTACGCACTAATTCATCTCAAAGGTGTTCAGTCGGGTTGAGGTCAGGACTCTGTGCAAGCCAGTCAAGTTCCTCCACCCCAAACTCTCTTATCCATGTCTTTATGGACCTTGCTTTGTGCATTGGTGCACAGTCATGTTGGAACAGGAATGGGCCATCCCCAAACTGTTTCCACAAAGTTGGGAGTATGAAATTGTCCAAAATGTCTTGGTATGCTGACACCTTAAGAGTTCCCTTCACTGGAACTAAGGGGCCAAGCCCAACCATTGAAGAACAACCTCACACCATAATCTCCCCTCAACTAAACTTAACACTTGGCACAATGCAGTCAGGCAAATACCGTTCTCCTGGCAACCACCAAATCCAGGCACGTCCAACGAATTGCAAGACAGATAAATGTGATTCATAACTCCAGAGAACACGTCTCCACTGCTCTAGAGTCCAGTGGCAGCGTGCTTTACACCGCTTTGCATTGCACTTGGTGGTATATGGCTTGGATGCAGCTCAGCTATGGAAACACATTCCATGAAGCTATCTATGCACTGTTGTTTTGCTAATCTGAAGGCCAATGGAAGTTTGGAGGTTTTTAGCTATTGAATCTGCAGACAGTTGGTGATTTCTGCACACAGTGTGCTTCAGCATGTGCTGACCCTGCTATCATTTTACGTGGCCTGCCACTTTGTGGCTGAGTTGCTGTTCCCAGTTGCTTACACTTTGTTATAATACCATTAACAGTTGACCATGGAATATTTAGTAGCAAGGAATTTTCATGGATGGATTTATTGCACAGGTGGAGTTCCTGAGAGCGACCTATTCTTTCACAAAAGTTTGTAGAAGCAGTCTGCATGCCTAGGTGCTTGCTTTTTTATGGCTGTGGCCATGGAGGTGATTGAAACACCTGAATCCAATGATTTTGAGGGATGTTCCAATACTTTTGGCAATATAGTGTATGTACTACTCCCATCTCTACCGTATAAACTCCTGCATAGACTATTTCTTTTTGAATGCACCCACCCTACCTTCTTACCTATCTCGTGGTCTGAGCTTGCTCTACTCATTTTAATGGTGACATTTAATCCCTGTATACTTAGGAAATGCCGCTGGCAGTTAAACAAATTTCTACTCAAGTATCAGCCATTAAAAAAAAAAAAAAAAAAAAATACTATTAAACTACATGCTAATTTAAAGGAACTGGCCTTAGGCAGGTTCACAAAAACATTAATTGGTATTAGAAAACTCTTTCATGACAACGGGCGTAAGGCACACACACCCTTAGTAAAGAAATTAAACAAGAAAACCTATCCATCTACACCACTAGCTATCAAAGACAACTCTTCAATCTCACCCCTCAAACATAGAACAAGTATTCAGTGATATCTACAATGCCTTATATAATAAACCTGGTATACCTCATAAATTGGCTTTGTCAGATATTCTCTAATGCATCCAACAATATCTTTGAATTTAATTACCAAAAATTTCCATTTCAAATTTCACCTACTCAAATCACCTATCACTAAAACAAGATTGCAGCCACAAGGAAAATGTTTCCTAGATATAAAAGCACCAGGGCCAGCCAGCCTGCCTTAAAGTTATTGCAAACGTTTCATACCAGTGTCTTATTGCCACATATGGCTAAATGTAATGGTTTTCTTCACAACGAGCCAATTCTACGAGACATACAATCATCATATATTACAGTCATCCTAAAATTTTGAAAAGGATAAGCTGGTCTTTTTTCTTTGCACTACTGTTAGGTACATTGGTATCAAAGGCCCCTTTCTTCATGCGGTTATGAATCTTTACACATCTTTTACTGCTCAACTTTACCCAAAGCGGTTGTCCAGTCTCCTCTGAAAAAAATAAAAGTTAGCAGCTACAAAAACTGGAGGATAAGGCTTGGATGCAGATCAGCCATGGAAACACATTCCATGAAGCTATCTACGCACTGTTGCTGTGCTAATCTGAAGGTCACTCGAAGTTTGGAGGTCTTTAGTTATTGACTCTGCAGACAGTTGGCGATGTCTGCACACAGTGCGCTTCAGCATGCACTGACCCTGCTCTGTCATTATACGTGGCCTTAATAAAAACTTTTCCTCAGTATCCATGAGGATACTGAGAAGCAACACTTTGATGTCCAGCTCTTGATTCAAGTAATTACTTTGGGTGCCATCATGATTGCCCACCTACTTTGAATCTGCTTCTGGCTTGTCCCCTTGGGTTCTCGCGGAGTAACACTTCCACAGCACCTGGGGGAGACTCCCCTGGCGTTCACTATTTGGAAATACTGTCATGTATTTTTAACCGATTTATATTATACATGCATCTACTCCTGAGGAAGTGAACAGAGTCACGAAACACGTTGAGTTTTTGGATGCAATTTTAATGTAATTATGTATTGACATCTGGATTGTATACGGTCAATAATATATCCATTTATGTATGAAATGCATTCATATGGATTTATTACCAATCAGCCTGTTATCATTCGATCCTCCTTTTGTATGCAATGAGAAGCATATTAATTTATTAAAAATGAATGTTGGGAACTCGTTACTCGTTGGTCGTGTGAGTTGTGCCTCATTTAAAGTCTCAGGACAAATAAGTTGGTTGCATAGATATTACCAAAATTCTATATTTTCGAAACTCTCACAATTCTTATCCCTACTTCCTGCCTTAAAACGTTATAATAGACCTGTTGAGTTTTACATCGACCAAACGCCATCTAATAAAGTCTTAAATACCTTATGTAACCAAGGTGGCCTTGCTTTTCCAAACGTACTTAAATTCTACCAAGCTACTAATTTGAAGACTTTGGCCCCCTGGTCCACTATACACATCTATAATAGTTGGGCTGAAGCGGAGAACCTGTGTCTGGCTCCCATCCACGCCAGTTCTTTGCAGTGAAAAAGCAACAACATACACTAGGGATGCACCGAAATTTCGGTCGCAGAAAAACACCCCTTTCGGCCATCGGCTGATATGAAATAAAAAAGCGCCAATACAGGTGCTGAAAAAACCCTGCCCCTCGCCACCGGCCACCCGCTGCTGATGCCCCTCGCTGCAGCCCACCTGCCGCTCGGTAGTTTTCAGCCTTACCTGAGAAACCAACGAACAATCCCGGCGTTGGGCATTGAGATTAGTAAAGGAAAGATGGCCTCCACTCATCTCTATGCCCTTGGAGGACCGGAGCGATGTCACTAGATCAATGCTTTCTTTCATCTAATGCTTTACATTGCAGAGGAGAGATGTGGGGTCTTATTGACCCCACATCTCTCCATAAAGAGGATCTGTCACTAATTATTACTATTACAAGGAATGCATGCATTCCTTGTTATAAGAATAAAAGCGATTAAAATTTTTTTTTAAAAAGGGACAGTGCAAAATACAAAAACAAAAAAATTGAAAAAAATTGAAAAGAGACAAGTTTAAAGTGCTCCCATCCTCCCATGCTTGCATATAGTGGTGAACGCATACGCTGGCCATGCCCACATATGTAAACGATGTTCAAACCACACACGTGAGGTATCACCACCAATGTCAGAGCAAGAACAATAATTCATGCACTAGACCTTCTCTGTAACTTTATACTACTAACCTGTAGAAATTTTTAAAGCATCACCCATGGAGATTTTTAAGTACCGCAGTTTCACGCCATTCCACAAGCGAGCGCAATTTTAAGGCATGACATGTTGGGTATCTATTTACTGCAATCCTCCATACCATTTACCCATCTATCAAACAACAGGTGTTGGCAGTGTAAAAAAAAAAACAAACAAGTTCCCTACAACATACAGTCAGGTCCATAAATATTGGGACATCGACACAATTCTAACATTTTTGGCTCTATACACCACCACAATGGATTTGAAATGAAACGAACAAGATGTGCTTTAACTGCAGACTGTCAGCTTTAATTTGAGGGTATTTACATCCAAATCAGGTGAACGGTGTAGGAATCACAACAGTTTGCATATGTGCCTCCCACTTGTTAAGGGACCAAAAGTAATGGGACAGAATAATAATCATAAATCAAACTTTCCACTTTTTAATACTTGGTTGCAAATCCTTTGCAGTCAATGACAGCCTGAAGTGTGGAACGCATAGACATCACCAGACGCTGGGTTTCATCCCTGGTGATGCTCTGCCAGGCCTCTACTGCAACTGTCTTCAGTTCCTGCTTGTTCTTGGGCCATTTTCCCTTCAGTTTTGTCTTCAGCAAGTGAAATGCATGCTCAATCGGATTCAGGTCAGGTGATTGACTTGGCCATTGCATAACATTCCACTTCTTTCCCTTTTGCAGTATGCTTTGGGTCATTGTCCATCTGCACTGTGAAGCAGCGTCCAATGAGTTCTGAAGCATTTGGCTGAATATGAGCAGATAATATTGCCCGAAACACTTCAGAATTCATCCGGCTGCTTTTGTCAGCAGTCACATCATCAATAAATACAAGAGAACCAGTTCCCTTGGCAGCCATACATGCCCACGCCATGACACTACCACCACCATGCTTCACTGATGAGGTGGTATGCTTAGGATCATGAGCAGTTCCTTTCCTTCTCCATACTCTTCTCTTCCCATCACTCTGGTACAAGTTGATCTTGGTCTCATCTGTCCATAGGATGTTGTTCCAGAACTGTGAAGGCTTTTTTACATGTCGTTTGGCAAACTCTAATCTGGCCTTCCTGTTTTTGAGGCTCACCAATGGTTTCCATCTTGTGGTGAACCCTCTGTATTCACTCTGGTGAAGTCTTCTCGATTGTTGACTTTGACACACATACACCTACCTCCTGGAGAGTGTTCTTGATCTGGCCAACTGTTGTGAAGGGTGTTTTTTCTTCACCAGGGAAAGAATTCTTCGGTCATCCACCATAGTTGTTTTCCGTGGTCTTCCAGGTCTTTTGGTGTTGCTGAGCTCACTGGTGCGTTCCTTCTTTTTAAGAATGTTCCAAACAGTTGTTTTGGCCATGCCTAATGTTTTTGCTATCTCTCTGATGGGTTTGTTTTGTTTCTTCAGCCTAATGATGGCTTGCTTCACTGATAGTGATAGCTCTTTGGATCTCATCTTGAGAGTTGACAGCAACAGATTCCAAATGCAAATAGCACACTTGAAATGAACTCTGGACCTATTATCTGCTCATTGTAATTGGGATAATGAGGGATAAAACACACACCTGGCCATTGAACAGCTGAGAAGCCAATTGTCCCATTACTTTTGGTCCCTTAACAAGTGGGAGGCACATATGCAAACTGTTTTAACTCCTACACCGTTCACCGATTTGGATGTAAATACCCTCAACTTAAAGCTGACAGTCTGCAGTTAAAGCACATCTTCGTTTCATTTCAAATCCATTGTGGTGGTGTATAGAGCCAAAAATGTTAGAATTGTGTCCATGTCCCAATATTTATGGACCTGACTGTATCTATTTGCAATGTACGAATTTGAAGGCTTTTTGGGAATCTGTTCACTCTAATTCACAAAATCTTTGACACATTGATTCCCTACAATACCAAAACCTATGTTCTGGGATTTCCCCAACTAAAATTTTTTCAAACATGCTAAAATAGTGCTATCCAATATACTCATGGCAGATCGATCTGCTAGCCCTTAAATCAGGGTGGCTAAAAATCTATGACAGGGGAGAGAACTGTTTTGTTTTCAAACAGTTCTCTCCCCCCCCCCCCCATTGGAGATGCTCGGCAATCACCGTCCGGGACCCAGTGATTGACAGCCATGGCCACAAATGGCGTGCGCCCCGTACCCGGAGAAGCAAAATCAAGTGTATATA